TCAGTCTCCACAGTCAAGCGTGTTTTACATCGCCATGGACTGAGAGGCTGCCGTGCAAGAAAGAAGCCCTTGCTCCAGAAAAGGCACCTTAAGACTCGGCTGAAGTTTGCTGCTGATCACATGGACAAAGATAAAACCTTCTGGAGGAAAGTTCTGTGGTCAGACGAAACAAAAATTGAGCTGTTTGGCCACAACACCCAGCAATATGTTTGGAGGAGAAAAGGTGAGGCCTTTATTCCCAGGAACACCATGCTTACTGTCAAGCATGGTGGTATTATTATGCTGTGGGGCTGTTTTGCTGCCAGTGGAACTGGTTCTTTGCAGAAAGTAAATGGGATAATGAAGAAGGAGGATTGCCTCCAAATTCTGCAGAAAAACTTAAAACCATCAGCCCGACAGTTGGGGTCTTGGGCGCAGTTGGGTGTTCCAACAGGACAATGACCCAAAACACATCAAAAGTGGTAAAGGATGGATAAACCAGGCTAGAATTAAGCTTTTAGAATGGCCTTTCCAAAGTCCTGACTTAAACCCCATTGAGAACATGTGGACAGTACTAAAGAAACAGGTTCATGCAAGAAAACCATCACATTTAGCTGAACTGCACCAATTCATCTAAATGTAAATATTTAGTGGATCTGATTGAGCAGTGTCTCTAACGGACCATCTGGTTCTGATTGAAGCTCCATCAGATCCTCCTTGGATGGTCAGAGTGGAAATGATTCCTGGTTCTGCTCCTTGTCAGAGCTCAACACTAAGATCACCAAACTGTTCTCTCAGTCATTTCAAACCAACATGTTGGTCTCAGAAACAAATCTTTCTGCTCTTTAAAGAAGGCTGGACATTATTCAGGAGGGTCAATGATCAGGAACATGTTGGAGGATTGGACCGGTTCTGATAGGAATCATTTAGAACATCAGGTTGATGATCGGACTGGTTCTGATTTTATTTTACAGTCACATAAAAATTATTTTGAAAGTAAACAGAAAGTTTCTAATGAGAGTTTTTCTTCAGGATCAATCAGAGATTCAAACCAGAACCAGAACCCAGTTGTGTCTCCTTTAAGAGTGATGGGTCAATGGATCGTCCCATTCACTTTATATCTCCTGGATCTCCATCATCAGAGAGGTGAGCTGTATTTAATTGCTGTAACTCTGGAAACTGAACCAGTAAGAACTCAGATGTTTCCAGTTATATTTCCAGAGGTTTGATCCATTATCTACAGAAATCAGATGCTCTGTTCTCATGAAAACACCTTCATATCTTTATCTCTGGATGTTGATGATGATGTTCTGTTGCTTCCTGGCTCCATGTCAGACTGACAGTGGATCACATTTCCACTGGGAAATACCTGGTAAAGCCATTCTGGTCCATCAGGACTTGGTTCCTGTGTGCATTGTGAGAGCAGTTCAGCAGGGAAGGAAAGCTTCATGATGTGGTTGGTGAGATCTGCTGGAACTCAACCAAAATGAGCTGATGTGGACCATCAGAGGTTCTGCTGGTTCTTAATGGGATCAGCAGGAACATTAAATCTTTACAACTCCTTAGATCACCTGGTTCACTGCTCACATCCAGATATCACTTCATGGACCTTTACCTTCTGATTGTCTCTGTGAGGACAGATACAATGTGAGCTCACTGGCTTCCAAGGATCTACAGGATCCATTTTAAAATCCCCACTTTAACATCAAGAAGAGGATCCCACATGGACACACCACCCACATATTTCAGACCTCCTCCATGTCCACAACACCTCAGATCTAGTCATCAGAACCTGATTGATGTCCCACACTATCCTGAAGACCTGTGTGGACAGATCCTTCACTTCCACTGTCCCCAAGCTCTGGGAAACTGTCTCCACCAGCATCAGATCTGCTGATGGTTTGGACTGTTGGAAGTCCAAGTTCAAAATCAACTTTTTAAATGGCAACTGGATTATTTTGGTGTTAATGGTATTCATCAGTGTAGATCATCTTCCTCTTTCTGAATGAATTGTGTTCATGTGATGCTCTGTTTTTATATATCAAGGACTTTTAATGCGTAACTCCTGGTAATTTTCTCTGTGAATACTGCTGGATGAATATTTCTTGACTTCCTAATTGTTCCTGGTTCCTCCACAGAGTGGACCAGCAGAGCTCAGAGGTCCCCAGGGGTCCATCTGCCCAGCTGCATCAAACACAGCTGGACTCCATATTTATGGTCTGTATATGAACAACAACTATTTTCCATGAGTCTGTTCAAAGTTCTGTTCACTTTGTAGACCAGAGGACTGTCAGTCTGTCCAACATCCATCTGGTGTTTAGATCCATGATGTCACTCTGATGTTTCCGTCATCTATTATTCTGTTCCAGCTGCTGGAGGACAACATTGTCACTTTGTGAAGAAAGAACTGAAGAACATCCAGAAAGTTTTGAGTCCAGATTACCCAGAACATTCAGAGAGTCAGAGAGATGATGAGGTTTTGGAAGGTGATGATGAAGAACAGAGGAGGAGCAGCAGAGAGGCAGTGATGAAGATCACACTGAACTTCCTGAGGAAGATGAAGGAGGAAAAGCTGGCTGACCATCTGCAGATCAGTAAGAGAATTTCTGCAGAGATTTGAAATGATAGATAAATTACACATTTGCTGAAGTGATGTAATCACATTCAAAATTTGATTTTTCTTTTATGTCTGATTCTCATTGTGTTAATTTAGGATATTTTGCACCAATTTGTCAATATCAACTTAAATCTGGTCTGAAGAAGAAGTTCCAGTCTGTGTTTGAGGGAATTGCTAAAGCAGGAAGTCCAACCCTTCTGAACCAGATCTACACAGAGCTCTACATCACAGAGGGAGGGACTGGAGAGGTCAATGATGAACATGAGGTCAGACAGATTGAACAGCATCCAGGAAACCAGACAGACCAGAAACAATAATCAGACAAGAAGACATCTTTAAAGTCCCACCTGGAAGAGATCAACCAATCAGAACAGTGATGACAAAGGGAGTGGCTGGCATTGGGAAAACAGTCCTAACACAGAAGTTCACTCTGGACTGGGCTGAAGACAAAGCCACCAGAACATCCAGTTCATATTTCCATTCACCTTCAGAGAGCTGAATGTGCTGAAAGAGAAAAAGTTCAGCTTGGTGGAACTTGTTCATCACTTCTTTACTGAAACCAAAGAAATCTGCAGCTTTGAACACTTCCAGGTTCTGTTCATCTTTGATGGCTTGGATGAGAGTCGACTTCCACTGGACTTCCACAACAAGGAGATCCTGACTGATGCTACAGAGTCCACCTCAGTGGATGTCTGCTGACAAACCTCATCAGGGGGAAACTGCTTCCCTCTGCTCTCCTCTGGATAACCACACGACCTGCAGCAGCCAATCAGATCCCTCCTCAGTGTGTTGGCATGGTGACAGAGGTCAGAGGGTTCAATGACCCTCAGAAGGAGGAGTACTTCAGGAAGAGATTCAGAGATGAGAAACAGGCCAGCAGGATCATCTCCCAAATGAAGACATCACAAAGCCTCCACATCATGTGCCACATCCCAGTCTTCTGCTGGATCACTGCTACAGTTCTGGAGGATGTGTTGGAGACCAGAGAAGGAGGAGAGCTGCCCAGAACCCTGACTGAGATGTAGTCCATTCCTGGTGGTTCAGACCAAAGTGAAGAAGGTCAAGTATGATGGAGGAGCTGAAACAGATCCACACTGGAGTCCAGAGAGCAGGAAGATGATCAAGTCTCTGGGAAAACTGGCTTTTGATCAGCTGCAGGAAGGAAACCTGATCTTCTATGAATCAGACCTGACAGAGTGTGGCATTGATATCAGAGCAGCTCAGTGTACTCAGGAGTGTTCACACAGATCTTTAAAGAGGAGAGAGGTCTGTACCAGGAGAAGGTTTTCTGCTTTGTCCATCTGAGTGTTCAGGAGTTTCTGGCAGCTCTACATGTCCATTTGACCTTCATCAACTCTGGTGTTAACCTGATAGAAGAAACACAAAGATCTAAGAAATCTTCATTTCTTAGTAAATCTAAACTAAAGTCTCTCCATCAGAGAGCTGTTGACCAGGCCTTACAGAGTCCAAATGGACACCTGGACTTGTTCCTCCGTTTCCTCCTGGGACTTTCACTGCAGACCAATCAGAGACTCCTACAAGGTCTGCTGACAAAGACAGGAAGTAGATCACAGACCAATCAGAAAACAGTTCAATACATCAAGGAGACGATTAATGAGAATGTGTCTGCAGAGAAAAGCATCAATCTGTTCCACTGTCTGAATGAACTGAATGATCGTTCTCTAGTGGAGGAGATCCAACAGTCTCTGAGTTCAGGAAGTCTCTCCACAGATAAACTGTCTCCTGCTCAGTGGTCAGCTCTGGGTTTCATCTTAGTGTCATCAGGAAAAGATCTGGATGTGTTTGACCTGAAGAAATACTCTGCTTCAGAGGAGGTTCTTCTGAGGCTGCTGCCAGTGGTTAAAGCCTCCAACAAAGCTCTGTAAGGACACACATTGTTAATGAAGTTAGATAGATAGAGATTTGTTAATTATGAGGTAAATATTCTTGTTTCAGTTTGATTTTTGGTGCATTGTCTGTTTAAAGTGTCCCATTGGGGCGGGGTGTGCAAAAAAGAAACAGACTTCCTTCAGCTGCTGGACATAATACTACATATTAATGCAGAAAAACACCTCCAGTTTTAAAATTGAAATTAGCTTAATATAGTTAATTGTGGAATTTTATGATACTCTTTCCAACCTCCTTGTTATCTGTAGTTTAGTTCTTCAAGGCTCAAGGTCCAACTGTAGAAAGAACCTGTTCACAACAAATTCAAATGTTGTATTAAATAAGATAGTTCCTTCTTCGTCCAATAAATACATAGTTAATCTGAAAGGATAAATGTTGTGGACTGTTTAACAACATATTTTCCTCCCTTTCTCCTCAGACTGAGTGGTTGTAACCTCTCAGAGAGAAGCTGTGAAGTTCTGTCCTCAGTTCTCAGCTCCCAGTCCTCCAGTCTCAGAGAACTGGACCTGAGTAACAACAACCTGCAGGATTCAGGAGTGAAGCTTCTCTCTGCTGGACTGAAGAGTCCAAACTGCAACCTGGAAACTCTCAGGTAACTCTGGGCTCTTGACAAATTGCTGCATCTTAGTTACAAAAAGAAGCATAATTACAGATCCATCCATCCATCCATCCATCCATCCATCCATCCATCCATCCATCCATCCATCCATCCATCCATCCATCCATCCATCCATCCATCCATCCATCCATCCATCCATCCATCCATCCATCCATCCATCCATCCATCCATCCATCCATCCATCCATCCATCCATCCATCCATCGTTCAGACTTTGGTCTCTACCTCAATGTTCTCATTTTCTCATCATGTGATGAATTGTGTGTCTGCAGCTTATCAGGCTGTTTGGTCTCAGAGGAAGGCTGTGCTTCTCTGGCCTCAGCTCTGACCTCCAACCCCTCCCATCTGAAAGAGTTGGACCTGAGCTACAATCATCCAGGAGACTCAGGAGTGAAGCTGCTGTTGGCTGGACTGAAGGATCCACACTGGAGACTGGAAGCTCTCAGGTATGGAGGAACCTGCTGCAGGAGCAGAGAAGGTCTGATAGAGGAGGAAGAGGGAGAAATGTCTTTAGTCAGTCTGCTGGGAAACATTTAGTATGAAGCTGAATAGTTAACTTGTTGCTCAAAGGAACAGTTTTTGTCAGTTGCTGCTCACTTTTCCATCTCTGAATCCAACAGTTAAAAATGGAAAGATGAAATATGAGATTCTCTCTGCTTTCCTTGAAGCTGGTGTTTTCCCTCAAAACAGCTCTGATGCTGTTACTCAGACTAGGCAGACTCTTTCTGTTTAAACTGATACTGGATTAATTCAGTTCATAGTGGATTGTAATATTTCTCTTGCCTCATTGTTGTCCGTTGTTCAATCCTTCAAGACAGTAGGATCATCTATAAAATGAGCCAGTTCACAATAAACTTGAACATAAAACTACGACAAGTAAAAAGTCCTTTCAGTTTTTCCTAGAACAACATCTTTGACTGGAAATTCAGAAATAAATATTTTTGATTTGCAGAATAACATATTTTCCTCCCTGTCTCCTCAGACTGAGTGGCTGTAACCTCTCAGAGAGAAGCTGTGAAGCTCTGTCCTCAGTTCTCAGCTCCCAGTCCTCCAGTCTCAGAGAACTGGACCTGAGTAACAACAACCTGCAGGATTCAGGAGTGAAGCTTCTCTCTGCTGGACTGAAGAGTCCAAACTGCAACCTGGAAACTCTCAGGTAAAATGTTCTCAATCCTGGTGAAAACAGATTTCTGTCCATTGTATTCTGTCAGGTATGATGCAAATGTTTTTTTCAGTAATAGAGTAAAATAATAATAAATGTCTTACTGTGAGATGGGTAATCATGCTAAGTCTCAACAAACATGGCTTGTTTTTCTTCCCTGCAGCCTGAATGAACCAAAAAGAGAGAAATTTAGAAAGGTTTGGTTCAGGCTAACATTGGTAGTGAAGCTCTGGATATTTGACAGGTTGCTGCATCCTGGTGCACAAGGAGCATTATTGCAGATCCTTCCTCCCAGCAGTGGTTAGACTTCCTCATCCATTGTAGATGTGACTAATGTTGATTTTTATGAACTACTGAACTGGAAGCTCTCAGGTATGGAGGAACCTGCTGCAGGAGCAGAGAAGGTCTGATAGAGGAGGAAGAGAGAGAAATGTCTTTAGTCAGTCTGCTGGGAAACATTTAGTTAGAAGCTAAATTTGTAGTTTCATAATTAATTATTTAGTTTGGAACGATGGGATTTATTAGTGAATGAATAATATGGTGAAAATATACATTTGTGGTCAAAAGTTTACATACACTTGTAAAAAACATGATGTCATGGCTGTCTTGAGTTCCCAATAAGTTCTACAACTCTTATTTTTCTGTGATAGAGTGATCGGAACACATACTTGTTTGTCATAAAAAACAGTCATAAGGTTTGGTTCTTTCATAAATTTATTATGGGTCTGCTGAAAGGTCACCAAATCTGCTGGGTCAAAAATATACATACAGCAACCTTAGTATTTGGTTACATGTCCCTTGGCCATTTTCACAGCAACTAGGGACTTTTGGTAGCCATCCACAAGCTCCTGGCAAGCTTCAGGTCGAATGTTTGACCACTCTTTTGACAGAATTGGTGCAGTTCAGCTAAATGTGATGGTTTTCTTGCATGAACCTGTTTCTTCAGCACTGTCCACATGTTCTCAATGGGGTTTAAGTCAGGACTTTGGGAAGGCCATTCTAAAACCTTAATTCTAGCCTGGTTTATCCATTCTTTACCACTTTTGATGTGTGTTTTGGGTCATTGTCCTGTTGGAACACCCAACTGCGCCCAAGACCCAACCTTCGGGCTGATGGTCTTAAGTTTTCCTGCAGAATTTGGAGGTAATCCTCCTTCTTCATTATCCCACTTACTTTCTGCAAAGAACCAGTTCCACTGGCAGCAAAACAGCCCCACAGCATAATACTATCACCCACCATGCTTGACAGTAAGCATGGTGTTCCTGGGATTAAAGGCCTCACCTTTTCTCCTCCAAACATATTGCTGGGTGTTGTGGCCAAACAGCTCAATTTTTGTTTCGTCTGACCACAGAACTTTCCTCCAGAAGGTTTTATCTTTGTCCATGTGATCAGCAGCAAACTTCAGCCGAGTCTTAAGGTGCCTTTTCTGGAGCAAGGGCTTCTTTCTTGCACGGCAGCCTCTCAGTCCATGGCGATGTAAAACACGCTAGACTGTGGAGACTGACATCTTCGTTTCATCAGCTTCCAAATCCTTGCAGACCTGCTTTTTGGTGATTCTTGGTTGACTCTTGACCATCCTGACCAATCTCCTCTCGGCAGCATGTGATAGCTTGCGTTTTCTTCCTGATCGTGGCAGTGACACAACTGTTCAATGCACTTTATACTTGCAAATAATTGTCTGCACAGTTGCTCTGGGGACCTGTAGCTGCTTTGAAATGGCTCCAACTTACTTCTCTGACTTGTTCAAGTCAATAATTCGCTTTTTCAGATCCACACTGAGTTCCTTTGACTTTCCCATTGTAGCTTTTGTGGCTGAGTCTGATCACTGGGTCAAATGAGACCTATTTAAATGGGCTCATGAGAAGTGAACAGCTGTAGTCAATCAGAATCACTTACAAGAAGTGAAGAGGCCATGACATGAAGCTAATTTGATTGAGACAACTCTCTACATCACCAAAATTGACAATTTATGTTGCTGTATGTATATTTTTGACCCAGCAGATTTGGTGACATTTTCAGCAGACCCATAATAAATTTATGAAAGAACCAAACTTTATGACTTTTTTGTGACAAACAGATATGTGTTCCGATCATTCTATCACAGAAAAATAAGAGTTGTAGAACTTATTGGGAACTCAAGACAGCCATGACATTATGTTTTATATAAGTGTATGTAAACTTTTGACCACAACTTTAACTTGATATTCTGAACATCGTTTTGTCTCTTATGACAGTTGAATAACTAAAATTATTTATGTTGATTTTGACTGTGTAACTTTGCAAAGAACATCCTATTACCATATAGCATAATTTTTACATGGTTCTGAATAAACCTGGAAAACCAACCCATCTACTGGAACCACAATGACATGGTGGTCAGAGCAGCAGGGGGCCAAATATAGCTCCATGTGGAACCAAGAGGTTGGAGAGAGAAAATCAGTTTAAACTGTTTCCTATCAGAGTTCAGTTTCACAACTGTTCAATTTAAATACTGGGATAAATTTTCCTATATTTAATTTTGGCTAATGCTTGTTTTTGGATTGTTTTAGGAGCGAATTTGTTTCTATTTGTTTTTGTTTTTTTCCAACATTAGTTTCGTTGTAATTTTTTCCTCAATCAAAAAAAAGAGTTCTTTATACAATCATTTTATTGAGCGATTTGATTCTTGTTCAAAATAGTTTTTGTCAGTTGCTGCTCAGTTTTCCATCTCTGTATCCAACAGATAAAAATGTAAAGATGAAACTGGAGATTTGCTCTGCTTTGATTCAAGCTGCTGTTTTCCCTCAAACCAGCTCTGATGCTGATCCTCAAACTGAGTCTGATGCTGATCTTCAGCCCAGCCTTGATTCTCAGGCTTCATTGGACTCTTTCTGTTAAAACTGACATGGATTCATTTAGTTCATAGAGGAATTTAATATTTCTCTTGCCAGCCTCCATGTTGCCTTTAGTTCAGTCCTTCATGGCTGGAGACCAAAATATAGACTGAACCAGTTCACAACAAAAGGCAACATAAATATGTGTAACAATAGATAGTTCCTTCAATCATTCAAAAAAGAATATAATTGATTGGAAAGTAAAACATTTTTATGAATTGTTTAATAACATATTTTCCTCCCTGTCTCCTCAGACTGAGTGGCTGTAATCTCTCAGAGAGAAGCTGTGAAGCTCTGTCCTCAGTTCTCAGCTCCCAGTCCTCCAGTCTCAGAGAACTGGACCTGAGTAACAACAACCTGCAGGATTCAGGAGTGAAGCTTCTCTCTGCTGGACTGAAGAGTCCAAACTGCAACCTGGAAACTCTCAGGTAACTCTGGGCTCTTGACAAATTGCTGCATCTTAGGTGCAAAAAGAAGCATAATTACAGATCCATCCATCCATCCATCCATCCATCCATCCATCCATCCATCCATCCATCCATCCATCCATCCATCCATCCATCCATCCATCCATCCATCCATCCATCCATCCATCCATCCATCCATCCATCCATCCATCCATCCATCCATCCATCCATCCATCCATCCATCCATCCATCCATCCATCCATCCATCCATCCATCCATCCATCAGTTCAGACCTTGGTCTCTACCTCAATGTTGTCATTTTCTCATCATGTGATGAATTGTGTGTCTGCAGCTTATCAGGCTGTTTGGTCTCAGAGGAAGGCTGTGCTTCTCTGGCCTCAGCTCTGACCTCCAACCCCTCCCATCTTAAAGAGTTGGACCTGAGCTACAATCATCCAGGAGACTCAGGAGTGAAGCTGCTGTCGGCTGGACTGAAGGATCCACACTGGAGACTGGAAGCTCTCAGGTATGGAGGAACCTGCTGCAGGAGCAGAGAAGGTCTGATAGAGGAGGAAGAGGGAGAAATGTCTTTAGTCAGTCTGCTGGTTTTCCCAAGGTTTGTTCCTGGAAGCTGCTGCTGGTTCCTCCAATCCAGGCTCCGCCCCCTTTAGAGGAAATCTGTCCATATATGGTGCTAAGAGTCACCTTGATGCTGCAAAGCTTTGTTCAGGGATGAGATGTCAGGATGTTGGTGTCAGTCTGTTCCAGGCTTTAGTTGTTCTCCTCATGAGGAGCTGAAGTCTCTGACAGGAACGTGGAGCTGAACAGGAGAAGAACTTGAAGCTTCTTCTTGGCCTCTGATTGCAACAGCAGGACAATCCAACATCTTAGTCTGACTTCATCTGGAAATATTTCTTTGACCCTCAATCAGTGTGAAGGCAGGCCAGCTCCTCATCAGAGCTGAGAACTTCTCTGACCTACATGCTGGAAATGTAGAAGTCCAGCAGCTCCTGATCAGTGACATCAGAGTGTGACATCATCAGAAGAGCGATGATGTCATTTCCTCTCAGAGCAGCTTGGAAATCTGAGAGGAAAGATGCAAACAAAGACTCTCTGGACTGTTGGATCTGCTGGTTCTGGTTCCAGATGCTCCTTGGACACTTTCACAAGCCATTACTGCAGCTGTTGGATTCAGGATGCTGCTTCTTCTTCTTGGGCTCATTGTAAATGTATGCAGCGCCACCTGGTGGTGCTGGTTGGTAGAGGAAGTGCTGAAAGGTTGGAGGTGTTTGTCAGAGGTGTGTGATGATGGAAGCCTCTCCCTGGTTTGTGAGTCTGAGCTGAGCAGAGATCAAATCTTTGATTCTTGTTGAATCTTTGTTGAATGTGATGCAGCTTCTCCTTTTTAATGTTTGTATTTCTGGATATTACAGTGAGGCCACAGCAGGTTTTCAGCAGCAGGGCTGTTTAGTGTTTCATTCCTTCATCTGTGTGTGGGAGTGTGGATGGATCAGGTATCCAGGTGTTGATCAGAGTTTAGATTGATTGTATTTTAATGCTGATTATTAAATCAGGTTGAGCTTCCAGAAATGTTTCCTTAGTTTCCTGATGTCCTTTTAGGCTTCAGTGAGTTTCTTCAGGTTGTTACTGAGGGATTTCCTTTCTCCTCTCTGTTGGAGCTTTTCCTGTGTTTGGAGAAATGAGTTGTGCTGCAGCAGCACCAACTGTCCTTCCTACATCCACTGCAGTTTGCAATCCAGATGTTGGACTGTTCCTGTCTCAGTGGAGGACAATGTGTGTCTGAGAGACATGTAATGTCTATGTTTGCTGCTGAAAGAGACTGATGGTCTGACCCCCCTCCTCCTTTCAGGGTGGAGCCTGCTGGAGACCAATTCTTGACTCCAGGTCTGAGGAAATGTAAGTGTGTTTTTCATCTGATTCATGACAACAAAGCAGCTCACATTCAACCATCTTCAAACTGTCACATCACTCATTCAGGAGTCAAAGTGTCAATAAATGATCAATAACTGCAGCTGGATTGTGTTTGTTCTCTCCATCAGATTCCTGTCAACTCACCATCGACACAAACACAGTGAACAGAAAACTCAAACTGTCTGAAGACAAAAGGAAGGTGACATTTGTGGAGGAGCTTCAGTCATATCCTGATCATCCAGACAGATTTGATTACTTGCCTCAGCTGCTGTGTAGAACTGGTCTGACTGGTCGCTGTTACTGGGAGGTCGAGTGGAGAGGAGAAGTTTATATATCAGTGAGTTACAGAAGAATTAGGAGGAAAGGATTCAGTAGAGTCTGTTTGCTTGGATATAATGATCATTCCTGGAGTCTTAGATGCTCTCGTCATCATGGTTACTCTGTCTGCCACAATAACATAGAAACTCGTCTCTCCTCCTCCTCTGTCTCTAACAGAGTAGCAGTGTATGTGGACTGTCCTGCTGGCATTCTGTCCTTCTACAGAGTCTCCTCTGACTCACTGATCCTCCTCCACACCTTCAACACCACATTCACTGAACCTCTGATTCCCAGATTTGGGTTCTGGTCCAAATCTGTTCTATTGTGTCTCGGTTATGGTTCCTCAGTGTTTTTGTGCTGATTTGAGTCTAAAGAGTCTAAAGTTTTTCCTCCTGTCAGAGAAACTCTCTCACTGTTGAACAGATAGTTCAGTCTCTACAATCTATTTCTTGGTGAAACGATTCTGATTGAGTCCTTGGAACTTTTTCTTCTTCCAACCTTTAAAAATGGAACTGAGATCATTCCAGGATTATTCCAGGATACTCACCGTTTTCTGTTAGAAAGTTTAAAATAGATGGAAAAAATTTTGTCAATATATTCTAACAAGTGATTAAATCATCTGATTTTTATGTCTTAATGTTGAAATCTATATAAAAAGGTGTAAATGGTTAAATGAAAAATTTTCAGAATGAGCCAATTTTTAACATGATTAAACCTTAACCCTAACCCTAACCCAATAATTCTTTGTTGGACATCCGCTACATGGTACTGAGGAGGAAACTTTAAAACAGTTTAATGTAACTTTCTCTACGTCCTAACATGAGATAATCTGAGACAACAAATGGAGTTCCTCTGCCTCCTCTCTGTGTTCTGCTGAGTTAATCTACTGGGTCAGAACCAACCCATCAGAACCAGAGCAATCAGCCATTAGCTGCAAGTGTTGTACATGTTTTTGTCTAAAGTAGGTGATTTTATGGCTCCATTTTGCCAGATCATATAGTAGCATTTCTACCTAAAGCGAAACATTAACAGCCAATCCATGTGATCAATATCTGTGATCAGCAGTGATCTGACCTGATGGTGATCAGAACCGGCAGGAAAAACCCTGCTCTAACAAGACTGGAAACATCTTGGACACGTTAGAGCAACAAATGGGAGAAGCAGAAAGTAGGACCGGCTCGGCGGAAGGAGTTAGTCAGAGAAACGAGAGAGTGCTTCGGTCCTTACAGTAACCCAGGAGTCTGCAACCTTTACCACTCAAAGAGCCATTTGGACCCGTTTCACACAATAAAGAAATACAAGCCACAAAACCCTTTGAAGTTTTAAATGAAATAACACTGCATATAACAGGGTTTGTTGTCTTTGTTCTATGTATAAACAAACTATACTGTGTTACATTCATGAAATCAATGAACGACTGCAGAGAAAATGAATGAACATTTCTGCACATGTTTTAACATGTTAAAACATTTTAACTCCGAAAAAAAGACGTTGCGTTGAAGGTTAAGTAAAATACTCAATGTCTATTTGAGTCCTTGTAGTAATGAAATAAAAATGACGCAGAACTTAAATGATCCAGTTGCAGCAACAAAAATGGCGTCATCCTTTTACTGGCGCCGTGCAGTCAGCCTCAACCTGCAGAATAACATGCAGGCCGTCAATTGGGTATAGCAAGGTATGGCATACCCAGACCTTGTTTTATAAAATACTGTTATTTTATAAAACAGTCATCAGTGTTGCATTGGACTCGCTGGAAGTAACGTTTCTATGATGTCATTTCTGCATGTATATTGATTGATTCTGTCATGTGATGAGTAACCTGGCCATACCTCAGCTTTGGTTGAATTGATGCCACTGATGAAATGTCTATTTTAGCGAACAATGACAAAATATGAATAAATGCAAAATAATAGTCAATTAAAATACTGATCATACTTGGTCAATGTGATTTCTGCTCCTGAACCGTCTGCACATCGGGGCTGTATGCCGTCACCTTCATCTTCTCACAGGATTGTAAGCTGTCATCTGTGAGGCTGTTTGTTTTTAATGAAGTTCATGTTGGAGAAAACCTGCAGTTTCACACACATATGTGGATCCAAAGATGGACCGGACTCCAAGTGTCTGTGGATTTTTTTGCCTCCCACCATCTCACTGCTTGATACGACAGGCCCAACTAGTTTTACATTTCAACTTTTGTTTTTTCTGAGATGTTGAGGACGCACTGAAGCAGTTGTAAATGTAAAGCAGAATAAAACTATGTTTAATTTAAGCAGAGCAGTTGAATGTATTTAATTTACTTTAAAGGAATAAAAGTCTGTTGGTCATGTTAAATGACGACGTATCAGAGTAATCTGGTTTGTGTCCAGATTCATTTAAGTTCTATGGCAAACTAAATAACAGGCAGAATTTGTTTTCATGTTGACATAAATGTCGGGGAGAGCATTCCAAGTTTCAAACACAAGTTTGTCTGGTTTGGGGAGGTTTTCAATATCACGCCATTTGTGATTCTGAGCAAAAACAGCCTTCTGACATGAAACATCTTCAAGGTCCGCTGTCCAGCGCTTGAACTAGGACACCCACATTTCTTTGTGGGCCATGTCAGCCAGTTCCATCTCAAGATCCGGTGGACTCTCCCCTGGAGATGCTGTCATATTCAACAGGGATGGATCGAGGCGTAGGGGAGAGACAGGGAAGGATAATGTGTTTTTTTCCTCTCTGAACTCACTGAATCGTTTCCCAAACAATGTTTGCATTGCGATGACTGCAGAATGTAAATACTCCAAATTCATCATGTGAGCTTCCCTGAACTCTCTCAAACTGGGGAAGTGTGACAGTGAACCTTTCTGTAAATCTCTGGCAAGCACTGTCAACTTGCGCTGGATGCCAAAACCTCCTCCAACATGTGCAGGGCTGTGCGTTCTTTCCCCTGAAGAGCTGTGTTCACCGTGTTCAGCTGCGCCGTCATGTCTACCAAGAAGTGCAGCTTTTCCAGCCACTCTGGCTGTTCCAGCTCAGGAAATTGAGCCCTTTGCTGCCCAGGAAGGTTTTCACTTCTTCCAGACACGCCGTAAATCGTTTCAGCGCCTCGCCTCTGGACAGCCACCGGACTTTGTTGTGCAGCAAGAGGTCAGAGTTTGTGCTTTCCAGCTCGTCCAGTAATGAATGGAACTGACGGTGATTCAAACCTTTTGCCATTATTTTGTTCACAATCTGAATGACAACATTCGTCACTTCTGTGCGTTCCGGAGGAAATGTTTGAGCACACAGTGCCTCTTGGTGCAGGATGCAGTGAAAAGTCAGCAACTTTCTGTCCAGCGACTTCTGCAATAAAGCCACAAAGCCCTTGTGCGCTCCTGTCAGACTCGGTGCCCGTCTGTAGCCACTGACACCAGGTGGGTGGTTTTATTCCTTTTGCTCTTAAACAATTCAAGACAGCCTCACAGACATCCTCCCCCCGTGTTTGGCCTTTTAGTGGCATCAACTCCATCATTTCTTCTTGTGGCCCAGTAGAGTTTACATACCGGCAGAACAGTGCTATTTGTTCAATATCACCTTTGTCTTTAGATTCATCACAGGCCATTGAGTTGGCCACAGCTGAATTGATGTCTTAAATTTGCTGTGTGGTGATGCCTTCTGCCATTTTTATGGTTCTGTCTTTGACAGTCTTTGCAGAGAGGGGCATATCCCTGATTTTCTGCACAATTTCACTCTTGTTATTAAAGTCTGTGAATAGATGTTCTGAAATCTTAATGAAAGACTCTTTTATATATTCTCCATCTGTGAACGGTTTCCCGTGCCTCACTATTTCCTGAGCGGCAACAAAACTAGCATATGCACTTGAATTTGCTGCCTTCATCCACTTCTTGAAGTGATTTTTGATCAGATCAGCCTTCCGTATCAGTTCAGAAACAGCTTTTTTTCTTTCCTCTCCATCCGGATATTTTTGAGCAAAGGCTGCATGTTTATTCTGGAAATGTCTTGCAACATTTGACTTTTTGTTGTTAGCTAGTTTCTCTTTACATATTAAGCACACTGGTAAACCAGTCTCATCAGCAGTGAAAGCAAATGAATTTTCCCACGTAGCATTGAACGTCCTGTTTTCATCTGACACTTTTCTTTTCTTTGAATTCTGCATAGTTGGTCTGCCTGGGGTGAAAAAGTTCAAGAGAAACAGGACATGATCGGCTTCGTAAAGGAATGAATCAGAACCTCGCTTCTTTGCAGGAGGATTTCCGCATTGAAAGAGCAGACCGAGCGCCGGGACCGAGGCCCGCTGACACCAACCCGCCTCGCTCCATCATTGGCCGCTTCATGGATTACACCAGAAAAGAAGCGCTGCTGCAACGGGCCGGGTCACTAAAACACATCGTTCTCCAAGGGAAAACAATATACTTTGACTAGGACTTCTCTCCAGAGCTCCAAAAGAAGAGAGTGAGACTGCGGAGCTTCATCAAGCAACTTAAAGGAAAACAGGCAAAATGTGGTTTTCCGGCGCAACTCAGAATGGACTTGGGAACGAAAAGCTTCCCTCCTCTTGTGGACGCGGACCGACGTTGGAGAGGTTGGACGTCTCGGTGCAGATGAGTGAGAGAGAGAGGATGGAAGCGGAGCCTCCAGAGAGGCCTGGACTCCGAGAGTCAACAACAGGAGACATGGAAAAGGGGGAC